AAGAGGAGGGAAGGGAAGGGAGAAGAAGAGGGAAGGGAAGGGAGAAGAGGAGGGAAGGGAAGGGAGAAGAGGAGGGAAGGGAAGGCAGAAGAGGTGGGAAAAAAGGAGGAGGGAAAGAAGGAGGGAAAGAAAGGGAGGGAGAAGGAGAGAAAGAAAGGGAGAAGGTGTTTGGTACAGGATAAATATCCTACCTTTACTAACACCTTGTGCATCTCTCAGTACAGTACACTCTTCTATTGACCCGAATGGAGCAAACATAAGACGTATATCTCCTTCATTACATTTCTTTGAGATCATCCCCACAAATAATTTTCTTTCTTCTACTGCAAGAAACAATAGAATATGAAAACAGTTCATAACACTGTGACAACGTGTAATTAATATTAACAAGACTTTAACAGCAGAATTTGTAATAATATTTTCAATTTAAATTTTACTGAACAAAACTATAAAGACAGCCATAAATGAAATCAAGTGCAATTTCATAATTTCATTTTGATGACCTTTCTAAAAAGCAGGTATATTATAATGTACATGAGAAAACAAACATTTTAATCTGGAGTACTGCAGCACTTTAGATAATAAATTATTAACTTTATTAACCAGCCAGGTTCTGGCAAAAATACACTCACCATTTCTGTTTTCACTGTCTGCTGGCTTCATTTGTATACGATGATGCATCTGAAATAAGCAGAGAAAAGAACATGTTAGACCACAGTAACCTAAACGTGTATAGCTTGGTAGTATTTAGGTTACAAAGTAAACTGAATTAGCGTATAACAAGTCATACATGCTGTTAATAATACAGCTCAAACAATGAAACATTAATAAACCATTGTTAACGAATAGAATAAAACACGATTTTACGTTCTTTGGTATTACGCAAGAAGCATAGACCAAAATGTCTGTTGCAATAACCAAGTTATTTGATTTTGAACTTGAATTGCTTAAGGTTGAAATGCAATATTGCATTGGATACCCTTACTTCATCAAAATTGACTATCATCAAATGTGCATCGCACATTACGTGTGGAAACACACCCAAATAATATTTTCACAATTACCATGATGCAGAATCTCACAGTAATCAAAGAAAGCTTAGAAAGAACTCCCATGTGCTGAGAGTATTGGAGACACATTAAATATAATTCGAAATTACTTAGCTGAAAACTAATTATGCAAATCAGAAAATTAATATGACCAGATTTGAGTGTAAAACTAATGAGGTCTGCGCAATGTAACAGAAAATCTATGTCTCCAAGTTTAATTGAAATGTGATTAGAACCAAAAAATTATGAATTATTATGCTTATTAGGGAATTAATATGAACAGATTTTTACCCCAAACTAATTAGGTTTGTACATTGTCCTAAAGCATCTTTGTA